CCGGCCTCAATGCCAACAGCTGAGGGTGACGTACAAAAGACGGAAATTAACGCTGCTCAGTTCCTTGTTGCTTCCGGTTCACAGGACCGCCACATCCGTGTTTGGCACATACAGCTCACTGATAAACAAGGTCTTTCTCCTACCGCAGCGAAGGAAAAGGTAAGATCCAAAAGTTTTCATATATGCCCCCTCCGCCCTCCTCCCATACGATGCACTAAGCCTTTGGAATTCTTCCAACAATTGTCTCGAAGTTATTAGGTTACGGTGGAGCATTTGGCGTTGCCTAATTTGTTGGTTAGCTCACAAGGCTGAGATTGATTCATTGCAAATGATTCATCTGTTCTTTTTTCCACCACATATTGTGTCGAAACCTATTACTCAGCACTGACGCTAATCAGTTTCATTGCTGACCAATTATTAGCGTCAGTAATAGTACCAGCACTACTGTTACTGAGCTACACGGCTAGTAAGCAACGGTACAAATAATAGTAGCAGTATCAGACCCGGCCTCCTTGAGCCTGTCTTAACATCTACTGAGTGTGAGTGAGGGTAGATAGTGCAGTAGTACACGCGCAAAAGACTTCTCTCACTCAAGACTAAGTTTGGCGGTGTTCCTGGCCTGCATTGGGGCAAGCGGCTTACGCCTGATTCCTGCTCGGTCGTCTCGACTTTGTCTTGTCACCTGTTCAAGCCGGGAGAGGGCTTAGAGTGAAGTAGTCAGTTGCGCATCAATTTCACTTAAATGTCGTCTCTGTCTCCAGTCGCCACCCCTGCTCTTGAGCATATGGTGCACATCATCGAAATCGATGGTCGAACTATCAGTTAGCCCACAAAGCTGAGGTTAATTCAGTGCGAGTGGTTCGTCTATTCTGTTGTGCACCAAATCTTGGACCGAAACGTATTGTGGACATGAAGACAAACGTTTGTCATTTCTGGTTTACTATCCACTTTCATCCAGCCATAACAACCCCAGTCATGTTGCCCCCGCATGCTTTTTTTTATTCAGACTACGTATGTGAAAGCAACTCCCCCCCCCACCCCTCCAAGTAGTACACCCTTCCCCCTTGAAGTTTAGTGGTTTAAGTTGTTCGA